GATGTTATAAGTATCCTACCATCCCTCTTCTCTCCCTGAAAAACAAAAACAAAACAAAACAAAAACTCACCAACCTAAATAGTGCCTTCAAACTGACTCACCGGTAAGCTTCACAGATGAAAAACAGTGACAGATGGTCTGTAAAGACTGAGCTTCTTGGAAGTCTTCAGCAATCTCACAGCTATTGGAAGGGAAGTTTACAAATCAGGAGATAGTTGGAGGGAAGAGGAAGAGACATAATAGGATCCTGGAAGATGGAGTCGGAATTTAAAGCCACCTGAGTCAGTTTGGGAACTAGCCAGAAGCAAACACAACAGATGGCAGGGAAGACAAGTGAAATGCAGTTCAGCCATAGAGAGAAGGCAAAGGTCACTTTGCATCTGAAAGACGGAGGAAGGCTCGGCCTTGGCACAGTGGCTACAGTGTCAGCCACATACACCAAGGCTGGAGGTTCAAATCCTACCTGAGCCTGCTAAATAATGACAACTGTAACAAAAAACAGCCAGGCGTTGTGGCAGGCACCTGTAGTCCCAGCTACCATGTTTCTCTGAAAATAAGACCTACCCAGAAAATAAGCCCTAGCAGGATTTCTATGCATTTGTTAAATATAAGCCCTACCCCGATAATAAGACCTAGCGATGGGCATGGCTATGCAGCGTATCTGCCTAGCCACGCCATGCATTTCAACATGGAGGGGAAGACATCCCCCTAAAATAAGCCCTAGTGTGTCTTCTTGAGAAAAAATAAATATAAGACAGTGTCTTATTTTCGGGGAAACATGGTACTTGGGAGGCTGAGGCAAGAGAATCCCTTAAGCCCAAGAGTTGGAAGTTGCTGTGAGCTGTGATGCCACAGCACTCTACCAAGTGCAGCATAGTGACACTCTGTCTCCAAAAGATTAATAAATAAAATAAAAGATGGAGGAAGATACATTCTGTGCGAGAATTTAGGTAAAAGATGCAGGTCGAGGCATTGGGAGCAAGCTGGGTTTCTCATCATTCAGCAACATCTGTGGTACCATTCAAGAGTGTAGAATTGAAATGCCTATTTAATGAGTGCGAATTGTAGGAAAGGGCATAATATCCCCAAGAAAAATTGAAATTGTTTGGAATGGCAATAGAAAGAATGACCTCTAGAGGTCGCTCTAAGACAATGACCAGGGGAATGTATTGGCTCTTCCATCAGGTGTACAAGGCGGGGACAAGGGTCTCATTACTCAGGCTGGTCCCTTGTCCTTTCATATGAACAACCCACAGAGCTTTTGTATATCTTTATACTCTTTGCAAAACGTTCATCATCAAATCCCATCTCCTTCTCTTTTCTCCCTGGTCCTGAAGACCTCACTTGAATTACAACTCCCCACTTGTAGAACTCAACTTAGTTTCAGGGACAGTGATTACGTGGGTTTCAGATGGTGCATGAGGTGTGTGAGTGAGTGCTAGACAGTAAAAAATGCAACTGATTTTTGAGTTGTGAGTCTTTTATGAAGCAAAGGTGTCTAATAGCACAGATAAAGAGGAGTGTGCATTTTATTTGACAATGTGAAGTGTTTATTTAGCTTTACCATAAAGAGCACAAGGATCTCCAGTTTGGACTGCATGGCACCTGCTGTCCCTACACCTGAGTGCTCTGTATTGAGTTTGGAGGAAGGAAGCCGCCCAAGCCACCTGGCTGAGGCTGACTAGTTTTCCACATAGCCAATGTGGTGTCGTAACTCCCCGCTATATGCCAAGAGCATTTCTATACCAAGAGCATGTCTGCCTTGGTTGCCGGCCTTCTCAGCTTGACGGGAATTGATGCAAAATAAAATGAACTCAGAAGTCAGTCTTCCTAGAGAAATAATTTGATGATCAAAGTACTTTCAAAATAAACTTAGGAAAAGTGCAATGGAATTTTACGCTGGGAAAAATACAACATACCCATATATAATACACATATATTATCTATAAAAACTTCGACACCTTCATTAGAATTTCTTTATGAAACTCCCCGTTTGGGGTATCATTAACTCTTTTTGTTCTTATATTCTTGACATTTTTAGAAACTGAATCATAAACACAGAAATCAGAATACTGAGTCATCTGGTTCTTGCTTACTCTCAGTTCTTCCCAATTCAATTGTTTCCTTCTTCTAAGCATTAATTTTTTTTTTTTTTTTAGTTTTATTTTCTCTATACAGACACATGTGTTTATTTGGTTTCCACTTTTTGCCTTCACAAAATTAAAAAGGCTTAACATTTAATAACAATAACAATGTTTAAGATAAGGACTAGAAACAAAAACCTTGTAAGGGACGACCAGGGATAAATACATTCAGAAAAGATATCAGACGATTGCTGCAACAAAATATTGAGCAGTAATAATAAGAAGAAGAATGCAACGCTGTATTTTAGATTTACAGTTATTTTGGTCTAAAAGCCACTATGGCAAACTCTTTTTAATTGACTTTCTTATGAAAATGCCATCTACTTCCCTCATTCCTGGAAAATAAGACCCTCGCAGTCCCCTTCAATGACAGACTGAAGACCTGCCCTCAGGCTTCACGTCATGAAAGCTTCTGTGCTGCTTCTACGCGATTCTCTGAGGGACGTGTGGCACGCAAACACGTTCTTTCCTGAAAGAGCGGATCCTTTCCAACTCTGGAGATCTGACAAGCTCAGTTGCCCTTTAAATCAAGAGGTCTTCACAACTGGGAGGTAAAATACCTGCTCATTGGCCGATAACTCCCCATGACAGAGTTATAATCTGGAAGCGACTGCCGTTGCCAACTATTCCCTTTTCACTTTTTAAAGTTATTTTTCCACAAGTGACTGAAGTTCTTTTTCTTTTATTAGCTCATATCTGTTACTCTTTATTTTGAGTCGATTACGGGTTCACATGCAGTTTGAAATTAAACCGAGAGACAGTGTACCCTTATGCCAGTGTCCCTGATACCTTGTCAAACTGTACTGCAGTCTCCCCGCTGGGATGCTGGCCGTCCACCGCTGTCGCTCAGATTTCTTCAGTTGGACTTGTCGTGAATCGAGATGTGCGGGTGCAACTGTGTGCACGAAGTAGGTTCCTACATCCCTCATCATAGTAAAAACAGAGAATAGTTTCATCACCCACTTAATCACCTCCTGCCTCTTAACCCCTGGTCTCTAACCTTCCTCCTCAGCTTTCATGATTTTGGTCATTTCAAGGATGTATTTATATAATATGTTCATAGATGTAAACATAGATATATTATACAGTACGTAACGTTTGGGGATTGCCTTTCCTGAGTATAATTCTCCAGAGATTTAATCAGGTTTTCATGTCTATCGGTGTCCGTTCCTTTTGATTACTCCTTTCGAGTCTACTGCTCATTAATCAGGCTGTAGATAAACTATTGGCCTTTCACCAGTTAAAGGAAATTACTGGTTTGGGGCTAATACAGACAGAGCTCCCATGAACATTCACGGACAGGCTTTTGCGCAAACATAAATTTCCCTGACTCTGGGATAAACCCCCAGCAGTGAAGCCGCTGGGTGGTATGGTGATTGCATGTTTACTGTTATGAGAAACAGCCGGACTGGTTTTTCAGAAGGGCTGCACTATTTTCCATTCCCCATAGCAGTGCAGGAACCTGTCCAGCTCCTCTGACCCTGGCCATCATTTCAGGTCGCCGCCCTTTTTATTTGAGATGCGTAATGACCTCTCAGGGTGGTTTTAATCTGTATTTCCCTGAGGGCTAATAGCAGTTCTTTTCAAGAGCTTATTTGCCAGTTCTTCCAAGGAATGTCTGTTTCTGCCTGTGGACCATTTTCTGACTTGATTTTTGTTGTTGTTGCTGTTTGTTCTTAAAGTCGACTTCTGTACGTTGTTTCTGTATTCTAGATGCTAGTTCTTTGTCAGATCACAAATGCTTGTAAAGTTGTTTGCAATATCTTTTCCCATTACATAGCTGGTTTTTTTTATTCTCCTGTATAAATCAGTACGTACCTCCATGGACAAGACGACTATTCTCATATAATTTGTATTTTCCTAGTGACTTTTCTTGATCATCTGACATAAATACACCCTTCTGCCTATTATTATACTACTCGGCCTAATTATATTTAATAAAACTCTTCCTCTGATGGTATGCTCCTTGGTTAAATGGCTCTAGAGAGTGGGAGACAGCAACTCATCCTGAGAGCAGGATTATCAATCAGACTTAGAAACTAAGAACATCTGTTCGCAAAAAGGAGAAAGAATTTAGCTTTGTTACTTTGCCCTGCCTCAGTCCAAACAGCCAGCTGGAAAATGGAAAATGGACTTTTATAAATGTACATTATTTGATACCATACCGTTAACATTTCATTGAAAATATTTAAAAATAATATCCGTATGAATTTTTGGTCACCAAATCAGTATGCTTACTACGGTGTACT